AAAAAAATGAATGTCTGCTTTGGAGATGGATATTGGAAGTGCTTCTATTTTATTGTTATTTGCCATGCCGAGAAAATACACTCATCTTTCAGTTTTCTTTTTTCTTTTTGCTTAGGTTATTTTTCAGTTGTTCCTACTTCGTATCTCTACTTTCTAAGGTGACAATTTTCTTTTTTCCAAGTTTGTGTACATTTACTTTAACACCAGGAAATTCGGATTCCTATTGGTTATAATCTAATTTAACTTCGTATCGCAAGTCTTCAATCTTTGTATTAAAAAGTGACCAACACTTCTCTGGAAATTGTCCTGCACCTAAACAGCTGCTAAACAGGTTTATTCAGATTTAGCCTTTATGTAAAATATTGATAGTATTCACTAACCATTCCCAAGAAACTCAAAATATAAATGTACGTATTTCTACCTTTAAAGGTGACAATTTCGTTTTTTCGAGCTTATGTAAATGTACAACTCATATGCAACTCAGAATCCTATTGAAAGAAYTTAATTTAACTTCGTATCTCAGTAAGTCGTCAATATCACTGTAATTATTAGAAAGTGACTAACACTTTAACTGGAAATTTTCATGTACCCAAACAGCTGTCAATCAGGTTTATTCAAGTTTAGCTCTTTTGCAAAAAGTATTGATCGTTTTCAACGATTCCCATGAGACTTAAAAGATAAAAGCCTGGTAGCCATGTTGGAGGAATGCTATGGAATGACCAATAGATACTAATAGGGAATCCTTTAATGAAGTCCTTCCAAGATGGCCGCTGTGGTGATATAGTGAAAACGAAGAATTCTTATAAATAAGGTTCTGATAAGTTTTCTCTTTCTAGCTAATCCCTTCAGTAATATTTAGTTCACGATTCTGATTGAAGCTCAGCCTAGCTTTGAGTTCCATCAGTTAAAAAATGGAAAATTGTCAAATAAGAAATCCGCTCCCGACACAACCACGCTTAATCAAGGAAAGTTCTTCTTGCTAAGGCTAGGGCATCCTCTCTCTGTAACGCCTCTCGCACTGAGCAAAGCAAGGTAAATAAAATAAAAGGTTGCAAAAGAAAATGCAATCTTAGAGCCGTTAATAATAAAAAGCAAACAAAAAATAGCTATTCCACGAGAAGTTATGATAATTAATCCTGTTTCCTGAAAGCGAAAGAAAAATATTTTATTTGCATCTAAAACTTTCATCATCGAAACAAAAATGAATTATCCAAGTTTCCACCAGCAAAAGTGCAGAATCTAAAATGATCAAAAATATCAGAGCTATGAAAAATGAACACAAGAATCAAACCATTCTTTTATTTATTTATTTTTTCTGTGATGTGATTGTTATGTTCTAAAAATTCATATTGCATATTCATTGTTTACAATTTATATTTGTGTTTGCTATTGTCTTATTGCATCGTGATTTTATTTTGCAAAAATAAAATATATAAATGCAAAATGATTATGGGTATTAAGATGAGACGATTCAATTTGCAATTCGCTGGTTTCAGGCCCGTAACCGGGAAGGAGGAGGTGTACTGTGTGCTTTTACTAATCGTTTATGTCAAAACTTTGAATCATATTATAGCCTCAAGTATTTAGTATCGATTTTTGAGCAGATGGGATACTAATAAGCAGTATAACATGTGAGCCTCTTCATTTGAAGTATGTCTTGAACTTTCCTTACAAGTCAAACTGGTGGTATTTGTTCATCTCGACATTAGTCGTATGTTCTTCTCTAGTGGAATATTTCTTTGTAGTTCGTCTGTTACAGTAACTGAAAAAAGACAATGACAAGGGCGGATCCAGGGTTTTCTTTAGATGCAGGGCGGTGGGTAATTATATAAGCCTTTTTCCCGTTCAATGCGAGTGACCGTTGTTTTAGTACACAACAGACTCGCACTAACGTAGAGAAAAAAAAAAAAGAAAGAAAAATAGGTTGACACTACAATAGCTCTCGAATTTAGAACCTTCTTCGATTTCAGGCTAAGCCTTCGGAAAAAATGCAAATCTGCAGTGGTATCGCAACGAAAACATTTTTTCGTGCTTTCTTTCTTTTTTTGTTGTTGTTGAGATCTCTGTGGATGAGAGACTGTTGTAAATTAAAGCGCCTACTTTATTACTACAAACAATAATACAATAAAATAAAGCAGTGATTAATCGATTTGAACGTAAAAAAGGCGTATTGGTGGGACAAAAACCTACCTTATTGCTGCAAACAATAGTACAATAAGAACTATTGCACCACCAATTGATCCAACAATTATATATGCCATTGAGCTTCTTTCTTTTGGACCAAATCCAGAAGAAGTCGTTTTGGGAGACTCTGTGGTAACTGCAGTTTGAGTCTGGTATCTGGATACGGACAGCAAGGTCTTTCCAATGTCTTTACCGATATTACCCAGTGAACCGTTTATGATATCGACGAGTATAGCACCGTCAATAGAGTCACTGTGATTTGAAGAGACTCCGGGTGGAAATTTGACGTAAAATGCTACAAGAGCGTTCATGCTACCAGATGATGCATTAGAGAGTTGTATTGGGAAACCAACAAGGTTTACTTGGTCTGAAGTAAAGTTAATGAAGTTGTTTTCAGTGCGCCTGATTAAAAAAAAACAAAACAGATAAAATCAGTTGTTTAAGCACGTTTAAAAGCAAGGTTAGATGAGAAGACAATCATGCATAATAAACTTTTCGAAATTCGTACCTTCCTTTTGTTCTTGCAACTGATTTTTCTTCTCAGCTCTACAGCATTTAATGGTAGAGTGCTTAGGCATAGGCTTACAACAAGGGGCCATTTCATTGCGCATGCACGATACGCTTGAGCTACCTTGGTGACAGCACTGTTTCGCAGTTCGTTCTCGGTCGAGATGTTTACATAATTTACGTTCAGGAAAATACGCTTTTTCATTCTTCAACAAGTAATTGATTAGGTTCAAACGTCAAGTCTAGTATAAAATATGTGTTGAAAGTCTTATTCAAGTTAAATTTCTGGAGTATATTTTTTCATCTTGAAATATTATTAAATCTAGTGAAAATACCAATGCGAACCAAGCAGAAATTATTATAATCGTATGTATTGATACTAATTTATGAATGATCTTTAATTCAAAAATTGGCGAAGATGGATATTTTGGCCTTTCAAGATTGTAAGCATTGTTTACATGGTCATTATGTTTTGGTCAAAACTCGTGAATTTTGAAATATTCGAGCATGAAATCAGATGTATTTACATGTTATACCCATTACAAAAGGCCATACATGATATATCAGCGATCGGACAATTGTTTTGCTATTTATGAAGAATCAAATACATGATAAATATGCTAATGTGGTTACTATCATTAATAATTATATATCTGACTTGTGTGA